ACACACACACACACACACGCAATATTTTGCACATTTTAGCAGTTTTTCACCTCAGAAGACGAAAGTCCAAACGAAATGCTTTGTACATACTCAGGCCTGTCATATGTTTTGTTCTGTTTTCCATTAGAATCCATCAGAACCATAACCGTATCCAACAAAACCACACTGTTTTACATGAATCTATCACTTTATTCCTGTAGCATTTCCATTTCATACCTCATTGAGTTCTATGACCTTTCCATTGCCAGTACAGAATGCAAATCACAGACAGGGGTTTCCCAAAGACTCTTCTCCTCTGCTCAGATCTTGATGTCTTATCACCCCTGAAGTTGATGTTGCCTGTGGGGCTCTGAGAAGTAACCATGCTCACTTTCTGGAGTGGTCCCCTCTGTGTTGGGGACCCTGATACCACCCTTCTGTCTGGAGAGTCACTAGAAATACTCGAGGGGCTCAGCATAGAGTTGTAATCATGGCTAAGATTTATTACAGCAGCAAAATTAGACAACACAGACAGATTGTAAGGGACAAAGACCCAGGGGGAGTCTGGGGGAATTCATACGCAGGCTTCCTCATGCTTTCTTCTTCTCTTATGAGAGTTACACAGAGTGAGCTTTTCTGCAAAATGTTCACAAGGTTCTGCCCAGGGAAGCCCAAGGCTTTTATCTGGACTTGCTCACATGGGCACTCTGCCAATCACATATCAAAATTCCAGGTTCACAGAAAGAAACCACATGTTCAGCAAAAGCCATATGATGGGCATAAATGTTCTAAAAACAGTGAGTCCTTATTGCCACTTAGGGAATACCTCAAGTGCAAAGTACCCAGACACCAGACAATGGCCATCAAGTAAACCTCTCTAAGAAGAGCAGTCTCTGGCTATGTTAACATTTTTCTGCAAATCCTCCAAGCCCCATCACTGGCCCAGCCACAGATACTAGGTGGCTGGACAGAAAGAAGCCTGAATGATTCAAACCATGACTGCAGGTACTTAGATTCATTAGTTCTTACTGTAATGTGTTGTGTGTTCCAGGTGGCACAATAGAGCATGTGAAACTACAAAACTCTTTCATATCATCATATGCAATTTCACTGGGCATCTTAGCCCTCCTCCTCCTCCTCCTCCTCCTCCTCCTCCTCCTCCTCTCTCCTTCTCCTTCTCCTTCTCCTTCTTCTTCTTCTCCTTCTCCTCCTTCTTCTTCTTCTTTTTTGAGGAAGGGTCTCATTCTGTTGCCCGGGTTGGGGTGCAGTGGTATAATCTTGGCTTACTGTAACCTTCACCTCCCAGGTTCAAGTGAGTCTGTCACCTCAGTTTCCTGAGTAGCTGGGACTACTACAGGGTTGTGCCACCAAGCCTGGCTAATTTTTATATTTTTGGTAGAGACAGGGTTCTACACATTGGTCAGGCTGGTCTCAAACTCCTGACCTCAAGTGAGCCTCCCATCTTGGCCTCCCAAAGTGCTGAGATTACAGGTGTGAGTCACTGTGCCTGGCCAGCTCCACTTCTTACATTATAATTTTAAAATGTTTACAAGCCCTGTGGATATGCTTTGTTTTAATCAAACATCTGAAAAACAACATTTTTAGTTTATTTATGAAGGTAAACATAATTACAATGACAAAAAATCACTTTACGTAAAAATACTCTAAATATACTCTTCTCAGCCAATACCGAGGCTAGAAATCATTTCAATCGTTGGAAAACAAAATAGTTTTGTGTTGTGTGTTTGTGCTTTGTCTTACATCTCTTCTAGATATAGAACAAGACTGTACCTTTTGCAGACTAGGAGGCAAATTGACACAGTGTAGACATATGATAATTATTTTATTTGCCATTGAACATTTATTGCCAAATCGTCAACTATAGCAAATGTAAATGGAAATTTCTATAAATATAAAATGCATCGAACCTGGTAGCCCAAAGCGGTACTTTGCTCAACAGAATTAAATGAATTCTACCTGGCCTAGAGTACCCCTAGCTATAAAAACTAAATCTTTGTCAAAGTGAGTTTTAACCGTGACATGCTCTCACATCTTGTAATGTTAAAGGACTTGAATGACATAAAGAACATTTTCAGAGCAGAAATTGGGGAGGACAAAGTGGCTCTGTTTAACTTTGATGCAAATTCAAGTGTGGGGGACCAGTGACCCCACTTGATGTGTTGCTCCTCAGAAATACCTCAAAGACCAGTTGCTTTCCAAATTGTCCTGATTTGAACAGTTCCTTTTTCTTTCTACAGTCTTTTTTTAAAGAAAACTTTTATTAAGTTCAGGAGTACATGTGAGGTTTGTTATATAGGCAAACTTGAGTCATGGGAGTTTATTGTACAGATTATTTCATCACCCAGGTATTAAGTTTAGGATTCACTAGTTATTTTTCCTGACATTCTCCCTCTTCCCACCCTCCACCCTCCAGTAGGACCCAGTGTGTGTTGTTCCCCTCTACGTGTCCATGCATTCACATCATTTAGCTCCTGCTTATAAGTGAGAACATGTGGTATGTGGTTTTCTGTTGATTTGGATAGTTTCTGAACATCTTTTTTTAAAAAAAAAAAACAGCAATGACTCTGGGAAACATAACTTGAGGATATAGAAGTTCTAAGGCAAATTTTGTGTATGAATGCTCAATACAGGAGAAGGAAGGACCATTGGCAAGGGAGAGAATTGAGGAGGAGATATCCAGAGGTTAGAATGGAGAATGTGAAGTTGTTCTCTAGTCAGCCCTTGATGCAGGCTAGCGTTCCTAGGCACAGGTGAAGCCCAGAGCCCAGGAAGCTGTGTTGCATCGAGATGTGGTGAGGTTCTGTGCAGGCAGTGATGACGAGAACCTTGTGGGAGTATGAGCAGACACATTCCCTGCCTTGCCCCACAGATACTGCCACATGGAAGGAAGACAGGATTGAAGTAAAGATGGTGAAATGGACATTACTTATCTCAGGCTTTATACCTGTCCCCATCCCCTCCACTCAAATAATATCTCTGGATTTGCTTTTTAGGTTCTGAACTTTCTCAGCTCTAGTGCACATGGTTTGGGTTTTGTCTCCGAGCCACAGGATGAACCAAATAATGCAAACCTAACTCGGTCACTGCATCTTGCACACTGGCCACAGAGAGTGAAGGACAGAACGCCAATGTACATGCAAATGTATTAGATACATCTTTGTTTTAGATCTACATGGCCTTCCTATCAACCCTTGCAGGGCTGCGTTGTCAGAAATGGAGACCGCTATGATTCATTCCCTCTGCACCGCCCCGAATCACAATTTCCAAAAGATTTCCAGGGTGGAAGGGAGCCTTAAAATAATGTAGAATATAAGGGATTGAGGAATTCAAGTGTTAAGTTAGAACACTATAATCAATCTAATTATAGCTGAAGGCTATAATTCTATCTGAGGCAAAAATGCAGATTCCCTTCATCTTAGGAAGCATTTAAATCACTTATTTACAGAAACAGATCACAGCATGTTAGAGCCAGAGGCAATCACTTTATTTGGTGGTTGGGCCAACTGGCACCCAGAGGTTGAGTGGCTTATCCAAGGTCCAGGCAATGAAAGACTAGCTTAAATAACGAAGATAGTTCTTGGCCTCTTGGCTCGAGGCTGCTTTCACTTTGGAATTTTCCTCTAAATAATGATCTGTATAAGGAGTGTGGGATTATATGCTCATTGGAAACACACTGACAGAGGACAAAGCCATGTAGGGTGAAGGCCAGGAAGGAAGGAAGGGAGAAGGGAGGGATGGAGGGCTAAGAAATTTGTCAAGCAAAAGCCTAAGGCTTTTTCTCTGACTCTAGGTCCTAGTGGGGGACTCCTCTATCCTCCAACCAACACCGTTTTTCCTCATGAGGTCAGACTAACAGAAGCAATGGTACCTCTTGTCTGGTCTCTCTTTGATGCTTGACCTTATTCTCAAAAAGAAGCCAAAGATTATTTGAGATCACAAGATACATCTCAGGTTTTGCTCAGCATTATAATAAACTTTATTACATTTATTAACATGTCATACCAAAAAAAAAGCTCTTCCTCTCTACTTCTAAACATAAAAGAAAAAAGACATTTCAGTTTAAATTCTTATGTTTAAATTCTTATGTTCACCCAACACATTATTTTAAATTAATTTGACCAAAATTGTATGAGCTACATAGGCTGAAATTTTATAGCTCATGACCTATAAACAAATATGAAGTCATGCACTAGAAAAGCTGACATTTAAAGAAAGGAAAGAATCTTTTCTAAAACACATAAATATCCAGCACCGTATTTAATTCCCCAAATCCGAGGTTTCTATCTTAGAATCTTCTGTAAGAGCCCAAGAGTAATTCATGATATTACAGAGACCCTCGCCTCAGGATAAAATTATAATCAAGATCCAAGGATAATTACGGCTGGACACTGGCCATCAGTTTGTTGATAGGCAGTAAATATGCAATTGGAAAGCTGGCAGACTCAAGGACTGGAGGCTTTCTGAATGCATGGTGTATTTTCCTAAAGAAAAAGGTAGGAAAGATGATACCGATTTAAATTCTAAGGGCTACATTTGCAAAACTCACATGTTGAGCTTTTAAACTAGTTTCTCCAGAACAACTCCTAATGTTTCCATAATCAAATGCATCCCTTTTCACTGAAGGGCTATAGTCACCAAGCAGACCCAATACTCAGCAATCTTGTTACAATCTTCTCTCCCTTTTTAAAAATTGTTGATAGAAAAAACACATGTGGGCTGGACACGGTGGTTCACACCTACATCCCATTACTTTGGGAGGCCAAGGTGGGCAGATCACTTGAAGTTAGGAGTACAAGACCAGCCTGACCAACATTAGCCAGGCATGGTGACACACACCTATAATCCCAGCTACTTGGGAAGCTGGAAGCAGGAGAATCATTTGAGCCAGGAAGGCAGAGGTTGCAGCGAGCCAACAGCATGCCATTACACTCCAGCCAGGGTAACAGAGTGAGGCTTTGTCTCAAAAATAAATAAATAAATAAAAATAAAAAATAAACAACAGAAAAAGCATATGTGGCCTCAGCAACATAGCAAGCTCCTTTTCTTCACAAAAAGGAAATAAAGATGAAAAATGTTCAAAGAAGAACACAGCACATGTGCCTAGACACTTCTTAATTACAATCCAAAACCCAAAGATGTTCTGCCGGAGACATAACACGCATCCCACACAAGCAGAAGCATCTCAGGTGTGTATCTACAGGGTAGATTGGCACCAAAATTCCGCTTAATCAAAACATGATAATCTTCCCAATTATCTGTGGTGTAAATCCAGTGCAGAACTACCCAAATTCACTAGTAGTCACTGGGTTTTCTCAAGAGACACCAATAGAAAAGTATTTTTAAGTGTTCCTGGCAGGTCTTTAAAAAAAATAGCTGTGGCAACTCTAATGATGAATGAATTTTTCATTGTCCAAAGTGGATCTGGTCTGGGTAAAAGAAATAATTCAGCCTTTTGAGAGCTCACTTGGGCTGCGGGCAGCAGATCACTGGGCAGATCCCGCTGGTGTGTAAAACATGCCTCAGCTGTGTGTTTCAGGAAATGGAGACTGTGTCACAGCGACAACAGAAAGACAGCCGAAGGTGAACTCCCGAATTATTCTACACTTTGCTTCTAACTTATTTAACTCACAAGGCAGGAAAATTGGCTTCTAACCAAAGTCCATTCACCCTTCGTGGAAGGTGATAGTATCCTTGGCTCAAGGGTAAACCCAGAATTGTTTAAATCACTCACGGTGTCCACCCTTGCCAGTGACTGGTTTATTGTTGGGCCTGAGTCCCGATGATGAGATGCAAAGGAACATCTGCTGGGGATTTCCTTTAAAAAAGTTCTCTTACTGATAAAAGGAAATACTCAGAACACCTGTCATTTTGACAAAATTCCTGGAACATGAGCAGCCATTCTGCCAACTGTAGGGGAGCCAGCCTAAGGACCTAGTCAATAAGAGGAAGATAGCAACACACACACACACACACACACACACACACACACACACACACACACACACACAAACCAGAAAGAATCTGAACCTATTTGACAGTTTTGAGCTGTTATAAATCAGCCTATTTTCAAACTTCCCTGCCATGATACTTCTTTTTTTTTAAATTTTTTGAGACAGGGTCTCAGTCTGTCATCCAGACTAGAATGCAGTGGCCCGATCTCAGCTCACCACAACCTCCATCTCCCAGGCTCAAGCAATTCTCCTGCCTCAGCCACCTGAGTAGCTGGGATAACAGGCATACCTCTATCACCTGGCTAATTTTTGTATTTTTAGTACAGATGGGGTTTCACCATGTTGGCCAGACTGGTCTTGAAATCCTGACCTCAAATGATCCACCCCCCTCAGCCCCCCAAAGGGCTAGGATTATAGGCATGGGTCACCGTGCCCGGCCCCATGATACTTCCTGGTAGTCAGGCTCCAATGCTCCATGCCATGCAAGACTTTCTGAGTTTCATTTCCTCTGGTTTGGAGCTACAGGCATTACTAATGCACCTCTGAGTCACAGGGGATGTTTCCATATGAATGCGTGTGATTGGCTGCTAGAGTGATTTCTTTCTCTTTATCACTTGGAACTCTAAAAACCACCTGGTAGTGAGTTAGCACAGAGCAAAATAATCTCCTTGGCATAGTAATCAGCCACAGGTCAGTCATCTGTGGTGCAAAGATAATTCAAGTCACTTTCCTCCAATACCTCCCTCCATCACACTTGAAGTGACCTTAGCACTTCATTTTGTGCTGTGGCGTCTCAAGCACTTGGGACCTGGAGCCAGACCTGTGTGGCTTAGATCCTAGCTCCAGCACTGTCTCTCTGAGTACGCCTCAAGCTCTTGAACACCAAGCTCACTTTCCTCATCCCTAAAATGGGATGACGAAGGTTGTTGTCGTTCAACAAGAATAAGAGGTTTTTGTATTTAAAGCAGCACTCAGCACAGAGCTGGTGCTTGGTCAGTGTAGCTAATACAGATGACTCTTTCTTAAATGTCTGCCCTGGAAATCATTAGGAAACACTTTTGACCTTGTGATCATTTTGCAGGGAGATGGAGGACAGAAGGGGAGGAGAGAGGAGGGAAGGGGAGGGGAGGGGAGGGGAGGGGAGGGGGAGGAAGAAGGGAGGGAGGAAACAAGGGAGGGAGGGAGAGGGAAAGGAAGGAGGGGAGGAAGGAAGGAAGGAGGGAAGGAGGGGAGGAAGGAAGGAAGGAGGGAAGGAGGGAAGGTTTCTTTAGAACACTTTGCAAACTCCATGGAGGATTAGAAAGCTATATCATAACTTTTCAGAAGGAAAATGGATACAAATCCTAGGAACGTCCTGTCATACATAAACCCAGCACTACTTCCCACTGGGAGTGCAGTCACTGCTCTAATCTGGATGGCTTCAGAATGAGAACCTCCTCTCTGTCATATGAAGAGAGGAAAACTTGTGCAAATCCTAACAGAGGAAAGGAAGCTCATCTGTGACCACAAATCAGAAGGCAAATCTATTGCCCAGTCCTCCTTGATGCCAGGCTCAGCACACAAAGCCAGGTGTCTTCTGTACTATCCTTTGCCTCATTTAGAGGACAGGAGAGCAGGACCCATTTAGGGAAAACAACAATAGCAACAACAAATCATTCAGAATGTAAGAAAATCATAATAAATTTCTGCGTAGAAGGAATTTATTTCTGTTCCTTCAACCTGGCTGTTTCTGGACTAAGGCAATAAATTTGTTTTTGTTACTTAAACTTTAGTTTTTATTTTGGCATCTTGGGGACAAATCTCCTCAACTCCTACTTCGGTTCTTCTTCCTGAAAATCATCTTGGCTATTATGGTAGATTTTCCTCTTCTATTTCAGAGAATCAGATGAAATCAATGAATCACCACTATCTTCCCCCAATTTCCATCTCATTCATGGCAAAACTTAGACTTAGAGGTCAAATGCTCTTGTACCTGACAAACTGCTTAGTTATGGAATAAATATGTAGCAGCCTCTCTCCCTGAAATGAGCTGGCAGCCTTGGGTTGATTCTTGCGTGTGTGTGTGTGTGTGTGTGTGTGTGTGTGTGCGCGTGCACTTGCATGCTAGAAGATGGATAAAGAAGAGTTTTAATAAAGGGAACTAAGGAAAATTGAGAAAAGTTAGGTCAGAAAGTGGCAGTTCCAAGACCAACACCCACTTTTTCTTAATACAAGTTGTCTAGTTTTCTGTATTCACTGGTCTGCAATGGGCATTAGAAAACTTTTATAAGTTTTGAAGATGATAAGAAAAATACGTACAATGAACAGCATATTGAGGTTGCTATGAGTCCTTTCTTCCCTAGAAATTTTCTCTCTTCTGCTATTTTGTATTTTATATCTTTCATAAGAAAAACGTCCTCTATCAAATGAAATTCTGATGACAGTACATAATATTGGATACATATTTTTATACCTATAATTCACAAAATAAAATATAGACAATATTTTCCAGCACACTCATTAAGATAAGTAGACAACAGATAGAAAGATGAAGAGAGAGAGAGAGAGAGAGAGAGAGAGAGAGAGAGAGGATTTCTTTTGTTCAATGGGAATTAAATATTTTTCTCTTAAGGAAAGAGAATTTTGAACTGAGCATTTATCCCCCAAGAACAGAGAACCCTTATAAAATGCTGAGATGAAATAGTTTCTGGGCCCCCATCTTGATAGAATAAGTGGGAGAATGTGGTATTGACCTGACTTCTGACTCCAGTGTTAGCCTTATCTGAAACCCCTGAAACCTTCAGCTATTGAGTGTTCTCTTTTTCATTTCTTTTTTTTTTTAAGATGGAATTTCACTCTTGCTACCCAGGCAGGAGTGCAGCAGTGAGCTGCTATTGTGTGTTGTCTTTTTTTTTTTTTTTTGAGATGGAATTT